TTACCTTTTCAATCTCTTCTTTGTTATGGATTTATTTAGTTGTTCTACCTCTGTTTGTGTTAGTTTAGGTAGGTAGCGGTAGGTAGTGAGTTTCTAGAAATTTGTCCATTTCCTCTAGGGTTTCAAATATTTTAGAGTACAGTTTTTTGTAGTATTCTGTTACAATTCTTTTCATTTCAGTTGGATCAGTTGTGATATCACCCATTTCATTTCTTATATGGGGTATTTGCTTCCTCTCCTGTTTTTCTTTTGTCAGTTTGGCCCACGGTTTATCAATTTTGTTGATCTTTTCAAAGAAACTGCTTTTGGTCTTGTTAACTCTTTCAGTTGTTTTTCTATTCTTTGTTTCATTTAATTCTGCTCTAATTCTTATTATTTCCTTTCTTCTGGCCCCTGAGGGCTTGTTTGGCTGCTGTCTTTTTACTTGTTCGAGTTGGTGGGTTAATGTTTTGATTATGGCCTTTTCTTCTTTTTGGATGTGTACATTTATTTCTGTAAACTGACCTCTGAGCACTGCTTTTGCTGTGTCCCAAAGGTTCTTGTAGGATGTGTTTTCGTTCTTGTTCGATTCTATGAATTTCTTTATTCCATCCTTAATTTCTTCTGTAACCCAGTAGTTTTTGAGCAAGGTTTTGTTCAGTTTTCATGTGTTTGATTTTTTTCCTTGCTTTTTCTGTTATTTTCTACTTTCATGGTTTTATGTTCATTAAAGATGCTTTGTAATATTTCGATGATTGGGATTTTGTTCAGGCTTGCTTTATGGCCTACTATGTGGTCTGTTCTGGAGATGTTCCATGTGCATTAGAAAAGAAAGTATACTTGGCTGCTTTTGGGTGGAGTGTTCATTATATGTCCATGAGATCAAGTTGGTTGATTGTAGCATTTGGATCTTCCGTGTCTTTTTGGACATTCTTTCTGGATGTTCTGTCCTTCACCGAAAGTAGTTTGTTGAAGTCTACTACTGTTGTAGAGGTGTCTGTCTCTCTTTAGAATGTTGTTAGAGTTTCATTTATGTATTTTTGAGCCCAGTCATTGGATGCATATTTATTATAGTTATGTCCTCCTGGTGTCTTGACCCTTAAATCATTATAATAGTGTCCTTCCTTATCCTTTGTGGTGGATATTTCTTTAAAGTCTGTTTTGTCAGAGATTAATATTGCCACTCCTGCTCTTTTCTGAGTGTTGTTTGCTTGATATATTTTTTCTGTCGTTTATGTTTTAGTTTGTTTGTGTCTTTAAGTCTAAGGTGTATCTGTTGTAGGTAGCATATATACGGATCATGTTTTTTTTTTTAATCCAGTCTACCAGTCTCTGTCTCTTTATTGGTGCGTTTAGTCCGTTTACGTTCAGGATAATTATTGATAGGTATGAGTTTTGTTCTGTCATTTTGATGTCTTTTTTTGTGTGTTGTTTACAGTTTCTTTGTTACACTTAATTTTCTGTGCTGAGTTGTTTTTCTTTATGTATTTTCATCTTTTTTATTCTTGATTTTGTGTTTGCTGAGTCTTTGTATTTTTCTAGTTTTTTATTTTGACTTGTAGGATTGTTAGTTTCTTTTGTGGTTACCTTAATATTTACCCCTATTTTTCTAAGTTTATACCAGTCTTTTATTTCTTTATATTGCCTTGACTTCCTCTCCATATGAAAAATCTATGTCTATATTTTTTAAGTTCCTCTTTTTTGTTTTAATATTGTCATCTTTTACATAGTGACATCTGTTTACCTATTTTCACTGTTTAAACCTTGATTTACTTTTGTGACTTCCCTATCTAGGTTGATATCTGGTTGCCCTGTCCTATGTTCTAGTCTTGGGTTGTTATCTGATGTTACTGATTTTCTAACCAGATGACTCCCTTTAGTATTTCTTGTAATTTTGGTTTAGTTTTTGCAAACTTCCTAAACTTCTCTTTATCTGGAAATGCCCTAATTTCGCCATCACATTAGAGAGAGGGTTTTGCTGGATATATGTTTCTTGGCTGGCAGTTTTCTTTCTTTAAGGCTTTATATATGTCATCCCATTTCCTTGTTGTCTGCATAGTTTCTGCTGGGTAGTCTGAGCTTATTCTTATTGACTCTCCTTTGTAGATGACTTTTTGTTTATCCCTAGCCGTTGTTAAAATTCTCTTTATGTTTGGTGGTTTTGGGAAGTTTGATTATAATATGTGTTGGTGACTTTTTTGGGGATCTACCTTATGTGGGGTTCGATGAACATCTTGGATAGTTATCTTGTCATCTTTCACGATATCTGGGAGGTTTTTTGCCAACAAATCTTGAACAATTCTCTCCGTATTTTCTGTTATCCCCCCCGTTCTGGTACTCCAATCACTCGTAGGTTTTTCATCTTGATAGAGTCTCATATAATTCTTAGGGTTTCTTCATTTTTTTAAAATACTTTCATCCGATCTTTCCTCAAATAAGTTGGGTGTCAAGTGCTTTATCTTCATTCTCACTAATTCTGACTTCCATTGCCTCAATTCTGCTCTTACGGCTTTCTGTTGAGTTGTCCAATTCTGAAATTTTATTGTTAATTTTCTGGATTTCTGATTGCTGTCTCTCTATGGATTCTTGCAGCCTGTTAAATCTGTCATTATGCTCTTCTCTCATCTTTTTAATTTCCTCTATTGTGTGTTCTGCGTTTTGCTTAATTTCCTTCCTCATTTCCTGAAGAGTTCTGTGTATTTATCTTTTGTATTCTGCCTCTGGTAATTCCAAGAAATTTTCCTCCTCTGGAAAATTTCTAGATTCTTTATTTTGAGAGCTTGCTGAAGCCATCGTGGATTGCCTCATTATGTGATTTGATATTAACTGTTGTCTCTGACCTATCAAGAAGTTATTATATTTATTTATTTTATGGTTGCTTATTGTGTCCTAGCTTCTTGTTTTGTTTTGATACGCCCAAATAGGCTGCTTGTATGAGCTGGTTTGATTATTGACACCTTTGAAGCTCTAATATCCTGTCACCAGGTGATTAGATGTGTTACTAGGTGTGTGAGCTCAGGAGTCCGCCCACTCCTGTATGGATTTGACTCAGGTGCTCAGGTCAGTAGCCACCAAGTGTGTGGTGAAGGCTCTCACTTACTGTCCTAGACAGGCTTGGGTGATTGGTGTAGGCGCAGACATCTGGCTGCAGCAAGGGTACACACTCTGAGCAAGGCAGGGTACTGACGGCTGCCCCTGAGTGTCCAGGAGGAAGGCGTGTACCTGTTCCCTAGAGTGCGTAGGTGGGTGGGTTTTTCAGCCGGACTATGAGCACCTAATGTTTTTGGCTGTAAAGACTGGGGGGGCACCTCTTATTCCTGGGCCCCTATCATAGGTGGCTGGGTGGCGTGGGTAGAACCACTACTCCTCAGGTCCCTGATGTGGGTAGGTGAAGACCCTGCTTAATGGGCAGAGCAGTGTCAAATGTCAAGAACCTGCCACCTCACAGCTGAAACAGTTGTAGTTAGACTTCCGGTATATACTCTGTTGTACTGAGGTAATGTGGGCCTAAGCTGTTGAGATGGGCCCATACAAGTCTTGAGATGGCCCATACAAGTCTATGCAGGGGAAAGGCACTCAAAGTCCATGGATTCCTTATGCCTGTGCCTAGGCAAAGGAACTGTGCCTACCCTGCATTACTGGTTTAGTGGAGCTGGCAGTTTATTTTTTCCTCCGTTAATTTGTTCACTCTCCAAGGCATGAAGAGTGACTCCAGTTGTGTGACGGATCCGACTTCTGGCCCAGTGAATTAGGCAATTGCTGAAGCTAGTCCTGGACCCAGTACAGAGAAGGGAGTGGGGAGGTAAATGGGAGAGAGGTTTTTCCATAACGGAAGTGTTTTTGATTTGAGCGGTAGGCTGTATGCAGTTACTTATCTTTTGCCAATCCAGGGCTGCTTCTCACTGTTTCTGGGTGGCCATGTATACTTTCTGGTGCTGGGTCTCTCCCGGTGTGGAAAGCGCACCTCCTGAGCACCGGCACTTGCCTGCCTCACTGCTCACCCGCGAGTTGATCAGGCTTGAGGGGCTCAGGCTCTCGCTGGGTCAGGTCTGGCAATTCCTCGCTGCTTCCAAACCGTCTCTCCCTCCCCCTGCCACTCAGTCCGGTTGCTCAACTCTCTCTTTGATGTTCAGGGCTTCCAGATTGCCATATATAATCAATTCACTTGTTTTTTCGGGTCTTTGTTTTAAGAGGGTCTACCTGAAGCGTGTGACTACTCCGTCATCTTGGCCTTGCCTCGAATTTGTGTTTTTCTTAGGGCGACCTTTAATTTATTGTCTAAACTAGGACATTTTTGAGAGTGAAAGAAGAGCTATTAATAATTTCTGGGGCAGTGGATGTAAACCTGGACTATCTCAGGTAAACTGAGCTATTTGATCACCTTATTTCTGATTCAAAATTATTGATCGAAAGTACAGTCACATAGAAAAGCTCCCCTTATAGCCCCGTTGAATTCAGTAGTTGGTCAAGTTTCAGATGACTGTCTAGGTAATGTTTGCATCCCATTGGTTCTTTAATGACACTTCTGTTTTCATAGTAGTTGGTCTTTGTGTAGTAAACCCATAAAGCCCATTGCTGTCGAGTCGATTCCGACTCTTAGAGACTCCGCAGGACAGTAGAACTGCCTCATAGGGTGTCCAAGGAGTGGCTGATAGATTCGAACTGCCAACCTTTTGGTTAGCAGCTGTACTCTTAACCTTATTGTTGCGTGGGGAAAAGAAACCATGGATTGGAAGCATACTAAAATTGGTTTTTTCTTTTGATAGTACGAACATGTTTGCAAGCAATTAAGTTTATCCTGCCAAAAGAAGTAGCAGTTCAGATGCTTGTCAAGTGGTACAATGTCCACAGTGCTCCAGGAGGACCCAGTTATCACTCAGAATGGAATTTATTTGTGACTTGTCTCATGAACATGATGGGTTATAACACAGACCGCTTAGCATGGACCCGAAACGTAAGTACATTGGTTTTTCTTCCTGAGTTATTCTGTTATCAACGTAAAGGTTTACATAGTTGGTGTTATAACATTCAGATCCCTTTAGTAATCTAAACCAAAAACCAAACCTGCTGTCAAGTCTATTCTGACTCATAGCAACCGTACAGGACAGAGTAGAACTGCCCCAATGAAGTTTCCAAGGCTGTAAATCCTTATGGAAGCAGACTGCCACATCTTTCTGCTGTGGAGTGGCTGGTGGGTTCGAATTCGGTGACCTTTTGGTTAGCAGCAGAGTGCTTAACCACTGTGCCACTAGGGCTCCTTAATTTAATAATAGGTATACCTTATTCAAAATAATGGACTAATACTAAGGCTTATTATATCTGTATATTAGAAATCAAATATTACCTAATATTTAATAATAACATTTTACTAGTAATTATAATTGTTGAATTTTTATAATGTAGTAAAGCACATTTGACTTATTTCTCATATTATTTTGTGAAATGACTCCCTAGTTGTGTTAGGTTAATAGTTTTGGTTTTATTGGTGAAGAAACTGAATAACAGAGAGATCATAGACTTGTGATTTGCTCAGAATCACAGACTAATTACTAATAGAACTGGGCCTAGACTGAGCCTTCTGACACATAGCTTAATGTTCTTTTCAGAAGCCTGTGTTTTTACACACACATTGTTTGGTGTATGAGGAGGTTGATTTGATTTGAGGGGGCTATAAAGTGCTATAGTTTAAGTATCTACGCTGTTAGTGGTATAAGACTGCATCCCTGGGCTCCTACCCTCACAAAATTTCATACAGACCCTTATTGGGTTATTTTCAAAATCAAGGCAGTGTCTTCAGTATAGGTGATTTCTTTTTTAGCTGTTGCCTGGGTCACTCTACAGAAATCACTCTAGCACATAGTTAACTTCTGTCCAGGTAACCCAGCTGTACCTATGTATGCATTTTAGCCTTGATTTAGGAAATTCATTTTTAAAAACTGTTTTTTGTCTTTATTATGAAATTATTCATGCTTACTGAGGAAAATTTGGAAAATGGAAGATTAAAAAGAAAAAAATAATTATACTACTCAGAGATGACCACTCTAAACATTTTTCGTGTGTTGCCTTTTTTATTTTTATTTTTTGAAATACTTACTTTCATTTTGTCAAACAACTTTTTCTTTTTTTAAAAGTTTTATTGTACTTTAAGTGAGAGTTTACAGCGCAAATTAGTTTCTCATTCAAAATTTTATACTCTAATTGTTTTGTGACATTGGTTGCAATCCCTGCAATGTGTCAGCAATCTCCCCCTTTCCACATGGGTTTTCCTCTCCCTTCCTACCTTTTCATCTTTGCTTTTGGGCAGGTGCTGCCCATTTATTCTCGTATACTTGATTGAACTAAGAAGTACATTCTTCATGTGTGTATTGTTTTTTTATACGCCTGTCTAATCTTTGGCTGAAATATGGACTTTAGGAGTGGCTTCAGTTCTGAGGCAGCAGGGTGTCCATGGGGCCATATTCTCAGGGATTCCTCCAGTATCTGTCAGACCAGTAAGTGTGGTCCTTTTTTCTGTGAATTCGAATTTTGTTCTACATTTTTCTCCCGATCTGTCTGAGACCTTCTGTTGTGGTCCCCATCAGATCGGTCAGTAGTGCTGTTTGGGCTCAGGCTGGTTGAGGCTGTGGTTTGTGTGGTCCGTTAGTCCTTTGGACTGATTTTTTCCTTGTGTCTTTAGTTTTCTTCATTATCCTTTGCTTTGCATGGGATGGGATCAATACATGTATCTTAGCTGACCACTCACAAGCTTTTAAGACCCCAGACAGTACTCACCAAGTAGGCTGTAGAACATTTTCTTTATGAACTATGTTATGCCAATTGAGATAGCTGTCCCCCAAGACCATGGTCCCCAGCCCTCAGCCCCAGTAGCTCGGTCCCTCAATGTGTTTGAATGTGTCTAGGAAGCTTCTGTGACTTTGCTTTGGTCATAGTTGTGCTGGTTTCCCCCATATTGTGTGTTGTCTTTTGCTTCACCAAAGTTAACACTTTTTAGCCTACTATCTAGTTAGTGATTTCCCCTCTGTTTACCTCCCCTCCCTAGTAACCATCAAAGATTATTTTTTCCTGGTAAACCTTTTATGAGTTTTTATAATAGTGGTATCATACAACATTTGTTCTTTTGTGATTTATTTTACTCAGCATAATACTAAGTGAGTTTTTTATCAGGAATAGGTGTTAGACTATATTAAATACCTTTTCTGTGTCAATTGAGATGATCATATGGTTCTTTTCTATTTATGTGGTGGATTATGTTGATTGATTTTCTAATGTTGAACCATCGTTGCATACCTGGTATGAATCCCACTTGGTTGTGGTGTATTATTTTTTTTAATATGCTGTTGAATTCTGTTGGCTAGAATTTTGTTGAAAATTTTTTTCATCTATATTCATGAGAGGCATTGGCCTGTAATTTTCTTTTTTTGTAGTATCTTTGCCTTACTTTGGTTATCAGGGTTATGGTGGCTCCGTAGAATGAATTTGGGAGTATTCCTTCCTTTTCTATGCTCTGAAATGGTTTGAGTGCTAGTGGTGTGAGCTCTTCCCTGAGTGGTAAAATTCTCCAGTGAAGCCATGCAGGGCAGGGTTTTTTTTTTTTTTTTTTTTATAGTTGTTAGGAGGTTTTTGGTTTTTTTTAAATTACTTCTTCATTCTCTTCTCTTTTTATTGATCTGTTCAGATATTTTATCTCAGTTTGTGTCAGTTTAGGTAGGTAGGGTGTTTCTAGAAATTTGTCCATTTCCTCTATGTTCTCAAATTTGTTCGAGTACAATTTTTCGTAGTATTTGGTTATGATCCTTTTTATTTCAGTTAGGTCTGTTGTAATGTTCCCCCATCTCATTTCTTATTTGGGTTATTTACTGCCTCTCCTGTATTTCTTTTGTCATTTTGGCTAGTGGTTTGTTGGTTTTGTTGATCTTTTCAAAGAACCAACTTCTGGTCTTATTGATTGTATTTGTTTTTTTTTGTTCTGTATATCACTTATTTCTCCTCTAATCTTTATCACTTCCTTTCTTGGTGTCTGTGGACCTCTTTTGCTGTTTTCTTTTTTTGTTCGAGTTGTGGGGCTTACATTTTTGATTTTGGCCCATTCTTCTTTTTTGATGTGTGTGTTTATTGCCATAAATTGACCTCTTAAAACTGCCTTTGCTGTATCCCAAAGATTTTGGTATGATGTATTTTAATTCTCATTTGATTCTAGTAATTTTTGATTTTCTCTTTGCTTTCTTCTGTTACCCAGTTGTTTTTAAGCAAAGTGTGATTCAGTTTCCATGTATTATTTTTTACTTGTTCTTCGTCTTATTGATTTGTATTGTTATGGTGTGATCAGAGGGAATGGTTTCTATTATTTTGATGTTTTTGATTTTATTGAGGGTTGCTTTGTGGCCTAAAATGTAGTCTGTTCTGGAGAATATTCCATGTGCACTGGAAGAGAATGTATACTTTGCTGCTGTTGGGTAGAGTGTTCTTTGTATGTCTGTGAAGTCAAGTTGGTTGATTTTGACCTTTGGATCTTCTGTATCTTTGTTGCGTTTCTTTCTAGATGTTCTGTTCTTTACTGAGAGTGGCGTCTTTAAGTTTTCTGCTGTCATTGTGGAACGGTCTGTTACTCTTTTCAGTGCTGTTACAGTTTGTTTTATGTACTTTGGAGTCCTGTTGTTGGATGTGTAGATATTTATTAAGGTTATGTCTTCTTGGTGAATTGTCCCTTTAATCATTATATAATGTCCTTTGTCTTTTATGATTGGTTTTGCCTTGAAGTCTGTTCTATCTGAGGTAAGTAATGGCTTTTCCTGCTCTTTTTTGGTTACTATTTGCTTGGTATTTTTTTTCCGTCCTTTGATTTTTTTAAATATTTATCTCTTTGTATCTAAGGTATAGTTCTTGTAGACAGCATATTGGTGGGTAGTATTTTTTTTAATCCATTCTTCCACTCTGTCTCTTTATGGGTGCATTTAAGCCATTTATATTCAGTGTGATTATCGATAGGTATGAGTTTATTGCTATTATATTGTGCTTTTTTTGGGGGGTGCTGACATTTTCTTTGTTCCTCTTACTTTACTGTGCTGAGTTTTTTTTGTTTGTGGATTTTCTTTTCATTATTATAGATTTTATGTTTACTGAGTTTTTCTTTTTACTTTGATAAGTAGGCTTATTAACTTTCTTTTTGGTTTTATTACAATTTACCCTTGTCTTCCTTAATTTGAACCAGTCTTTTATTACTTGATAACACCTTGATTTCCTCTCTATTTGTAAGTTTTATAACTACACCGTTTATTTCCCCTTTTATTGTTTTGACATGACATTGTCATTTACAGATTGATGTCTCTGGTTCCTTGTTTTAAGTCTTTTAGCTTTGTTTTGTTGTTGAGAGTTCTTTTTACCTAGGTCGGTATCTGGTTGTGCTGTCGTGTGTCCTATACTCAGCTTGTTGTCTGAGGTGGTTGTTTCTCTAACCAAGGATTCCCTTTAATATTATATATTTTGTTTGATTTTTTACAAATTCCCTTAATTTCTGTTTATCTGATGATGTTCTAATTTTGCAATTGTATTTTATGGAGAGTTTTGCAGGACATATTCTTCTTGGCAGTTTTTTTCTTTCAAGGTTTTAAATAATCATCACATTGTCTTCTTGGAGCCCTGGTGGTGTAGTGGTTAAGAGTTCGGCTGCTAACCAAAAGGTTGCAGTTCAAATCCACCAGCTGCTCCTTGGAAACCGTATGGGGTAGTTCTTCTCTGTCCTGTAGGGTTGCTATGAATTGGAATCAACTTGATGGCAACAGGTTTGGTGTTTTTTGGTATTGCCTACTTGCCTGCATAGTTTCTGCCAAGTAATCAGAGCTTAGTCTTATTGTTTCCCCTTTGTGACTTTTATTTTTCCTTGAGCTGCTTTCGGGATTCTTTCTTTGTCTTTGGTTTTGACATGGGTGATTTTGATATGTCTTTGTGATTTTCTTT